ACTTTGTCAAGCAGTTTTGGCGCGACTTTCTACCAGCGATTTCACAAAACTGGACCAACTAATTTCTATTTTTTTTTTATGAAACGCACAAATGTTGACTACTTTTCTCGTGGCTCTAGAAGAAAAAATCTCAAAATAATGTTTTATTTCAAAGTTCGAGTGGTAGTAAACGTCATTTCAACAGCTCGAATGAAGTGGTTAATTATAACGGAATTTAAAGGAAATAAACCAACCCACTCAAAGCTCTTCATAAAGGGATTTCGTTAAGAGGTTCGACAAATTTAAAGGACAAATTTCTAGTGAATATCCACAGGGAGTTCATCAGATAATTCTGAGATATTGTTCTTAGGAACTGTGAGAAGAATTCTAAGGAATTTCTGGGGAGAAGAATGGAAGGTCTGAATTAAATTCCTGAGTTTTTCTAAGAATAGTTTCATGGGAGCTGTGAAAAGAACTTCAAGGAGCATTCCTAGGTGATTCTAAGGAGATTTTTTTTGGGGATCGTGAGAAGGATAGCTAGTAAATTTTAAAATTAATTACAAGATAATTTTGACGAGAATTCAAAGAGAATGTTAAACCACAGACAAACATACGTATCTATTTGAACAATCTGTCTTTAAAATATCTCACGAAACTCCCTGACGACATCTAGCGAGCTATTCGCGTAAAAGTAAAATAAGCTTGCTTTATACGTCGCAAACAATGCAATGATGCATACAAGTTCATCAGAATGTAAAGAAACGTCAAAGTGATCCGATGCCAGCGCTGAGCGGAGGGTTCACAAAACTAAAGATATTCAAAATGCACGTTAAATAGATGTACGATGACTGGAATTAAACTGTTACGTCTGTTTGTCTGTGGATAAACAGTCTTTAAAGAGTGTTCTGAGTATAATTGCTAAAGGAATAGACTCAGGAGGGTTATTGTTGAATGTTTTGACTAAAATTTGAAAAAAAAAATCAAAGGAAATTCAGAGCTGAGGAATATTACAATAAGGGGGGGGGGTTATCTAAAGGATTCTGACGAGAAATTCAAGGTTCGAAAAAAGTTCCATGGATATTTTCATTGTTAGTACAAGGAGAATCCGATGATAGTTCTGAGCTGAATAATGGCTGAATGAAAGGTAATTATTAAAGAAATGTGTTTGATTTTACAAAGGTTAATTATTATTAGGAAAGTTACACATTAGTTGATATCACGGGAAAAACGCTGTAGAAAATTGAGTATTTTCTCTTGAAAATTTGGGTGGAAGTAGTTTAGAGTGTATTGATTACAATGTATTTTTTATAGCTGTCAGTTTTTCGAAAGTTAGAAAAAATGGCGTCACCCGAAAAGCAACGTCGCGAATTGATTTTGCGAAAGCACCTGGAAAATCCTCAACTCTCTCATCGGGACATCGGAAAACAACTCGGAATCTTGCAGTTAACGGTGAGTCGTGTGATTAAATGTTACTACGAAACTCTGAGTATCGAACGGAAGGAGAAATGCTATCAGTTCTATAGACTTCTCTGACGTTTGTTATTTGCACAAGCATTAGTGCAGAACTTTGGGTAAATTCTTGCACTAATACTTATAATTTACCCCAAGTTATGCACTAATACTTGTGCATTTCACAAACGTCAGAGAAGTATATTAGTGATCAGGATCCCAAGCGTGTCATGGCAGCGTTTAAGCGGAATCCCAATACTTCGGCCAGGGATGCAGCCAAAAAGTTGAATCTGTCCAACTCTTTCATTCAAAGAGCCAAGGACCGGGAGGGACTGCATACGTACAAAGTGCAAAATACTCCAAATCGTGACGAACGGCAAAATACGATGGGAAAGCTACGGACCCGGAAACTGTACACCCAGATGCTGACGAAGTCTCATTGTCTCATCATGGATGATGAGACTTACGTCAAGGCGGACTTCCGGCAGCTTCCGGAGCTACTGTTTTTCACCTCCCACCACAAGTTTGATGTTCCGGAGGAAGTAAGGAAGCAGAAACTTTCAAAGTTTGTCAATAAATACATGATTTGTCAAGCGATCTGCTCATGTGGCAAACGGAGTGCGCCGTTCGTGACTACTGGGATTGTAAACGGGGAGATCTACCTCAAGGAGTGTCTACAGAAGCGTCTGCTTCCTCTGTTGAAGCAACACGAGGGCTCTACGATCTTCTGGCCGGATCTAGCTACCACAACGGGGCCACTTTCGTACCCAAGGACATGAATCCTCCCAACGTACTGGAACTAAGGCCTATCGAAAAATACTGGGTTATTATGTAGCAGGCACTACGGAAGCCTCCCAAGAAGTTCAAATCTGAGGAAGACATGAAGAAAAAGTGGGTACAGAAGAAGCTGCAGCCAGATGTTGTACAGAACCTAATGAGTGGAGTTAAGCGTAAGGTGCGAGCATACGGTTATGGTATTGATGTTGAATGAAATAAATATGCCAAAAGCTTACTAATGGGTTATATTTTATTGCATAAAAGTTTGAAAAGGATCGGTCAACTAGGTAATTTTCTACAGCGTTTTTTCCGTGATGCAATTTGATGTGGGACACCCTTTATAGTGCCGAGATGAGTGAAAAGAACTTAATTTTGGGTACTTTTTTCTTACCGTGTACAGAAAAAGAATTAACAGTTCTAGTAGTTCGATGCTAGATCAGAGGTTGCTTAGATTACACTTGATTACACCATAAAAATTTATAGCGGAAACAGCTATTTGTCAAATATGGGTGATGAGTTGCTGGATATCTAAAATTGCAATTAGAGTCTGTTCATAGACCACAAAGACCCCTTTGGGTCTAAACTGCTTCAAAAACAGTCTAAATGGCTTATGGGCTGCCCATTAGAAGCTGATTTACTGGAATTATTGTTACTATGATTGCTTCCATTCACTTCGCTATAAAATAATGTTTTTCGAATGCTTGGATGCTTTAATGGTATTTTGTACTTGGAAGCTACAAGAAGAAGTTGAAAAGTATGTGTTTCACACATTAAACCAGTTAATTTCGCTTTCAGAGAGTGACAATCAGCGATTTTATGATTTGTGAGCGCTCATTTTGAGTGAACGATCACGAATCATAAAATCGCTGATTGTGACTCTCTGAAAACGAAATCGGCAGGTTTTATGAATCAAGCACATACATTTCAGTCTCTTCTTGTAGCTTACAAGCCCAAAATATGATTGTAGCATGCAATCATTTCATAATTTCGAAAAACTTTTTTTATCGCGAAGTGAGTGGGAGCAACCCTGATTGAACGATGTTCCATGAATTTTTATGTAACAATCTCCCAGTAATGAAAATTCTCCGACGTGGGTGGAACTCAGAGGGTAACGCGTTCTTCGGGGGATAGCTGTATTTGAATTGTGGAATTTTTCATAGCATAAGTTTCACACACGAAATGGGCGTGTTTCATAATTTGCACGAACCTAAGTGTGAGGCACATAATGGTGACGTATGGATAAGTGTATTTTCAAAATACAGTCAACCATCCCCAAGATGTCCACTAACTCGATATCGAGTTATAGAACCATAGTAAAAATGCATTCCATGGCTACTGTGATAGCGATTTTGCATTGGATTGTTATTTTAAGACTTGATAATTAAATATCTCGATGATCGCTTCTCTGAATATTAATTCCATACAATACTTGCCTATTTTAATTCATGTAAAATGTTACAAAAAAATGTGTTAAAAAATATTCTATGTCAGTGAAAAATTATGTGAAATCTCGTGACATGGTCCCATGACAGTGATAGCACCTATTTCAACATCCTCAAATGATAGTCCTGAAATTTTTCAGCACTGGACAAAGGCACAACATGAATAATGCAGGTTTTAGTACCATCAGCTAAACAAGATTTGTCTGTACGATGGCTTTCCGTTAATAAAGTGCGCTTTTTAAAATGTTCAGAAGCTCTAGTAACATTTTCGATTATAACGATTCAGTCATCGAATGAACATTTCTGGGCAAATTTTTGAATTACCAGATATCAGCATAATTGTAATCTCACATCTTAATATCATCCCAGGTGTGTATCCAATCGCATAATGATATCAGTTTCAAATGATCAAGTGTCATCCTATTGTTTCTACCCATTAACCACCTACGGCGATATATCCTCCAAGCAATCACATACATATAAAACTAGCCAACCAATGCATTGGTCGGTCGGTCGGATGGTTGGTAGGTCCGTCGATAGGTCTCGGTCCAAAGTGGAGAATGCAGAGAAAAAAGGGTTATGTAACTGGAAAATTGCTTTCACCGCACGGTTTCCAGTCCGCAGATACAAAACATTCCTATTGTAGGAGACTATTTCCCAACCCCGGTAGTGATCTGGATATGCGAGGAAGATTTCCACCCACACGGGCCGTAATCGGATTGAGGTCATTTCGTTACCGATGAAACAAAAGTTCTTTTTTTTTATTCGAACTCATGTCAAAGTATCGATTTTCTGAAGATGGTAAACCAGTTTTCGTTTTTATTTCAATCTCACCGCCTTCGCGATGCGATGAGAAGGGGAAGTTTTTCGATGATTGATTTCAGTTGTAGCTGGATTGGAAATATTTGCATGCATTGATTTGGTTTATGGGGTGGATTGGGGATTTTATTTCAGCCAGGAATATCGCAATATTGATAGGAATCTTACTTCATTGGAAAATTTATGTAATCAGTTTTTCTCACTTGGATATGTGCGAGTATCGAGAGGTTTGGTGAGATTGTGGGGGTTGTTCGGAAGGTGTGCGAGAGAATGTGTTTCAAAAAATGAGAGGATCTTTCAAGGATATGCCAAATGCAGAGTCGATACCCATAGCCGTTGGACGTCGAATGGAGTGAGAGCGATAACGGAAAATTCGAGAGAGGGAGAAGTTTAACACCCCCTTTTGCAAGGAGGGTGGGAAAAACAAGATGGCTGCTCTCTAGAAACAGAAGGACAACTTGTCCCCCGAAGGATCCCTGCAACACTAGAAGGGATGGATAATTATGACTCATACGAGTCAGAAAATCTACTTACCCCAACTCGAACCGGTTCTTCCAAGGCATTGGCTGGTTTCGCTGTTCCAGCAGAATTTACTGAATCCTTCCCATTTTCCCAGTTTTTCGGGTGGGGTATAATATTGTTCCGCTACTTTCTTATCGGCCATGGCTGTGCCCTTTCACACTGGCTAATCCTTCCTTTCAAACTAAGTGCTAGGCGAGAAGAAAACCGTTCCCGTGATGTATTACCGAACTCGCGAAATCTTTGATCTCGTTTTGCTGCTGACCAAATTCAACTTTTCACTTCCTCACCGAAACCAGCATTCAAGACTGCAAGTAGAAACCAACATCAAAATTACACACAAAATTCATCCAAAAGCTTATTGCAAACTAGAAACGCGCACACACGGCCCCTCAAGTCTTGGCGATTTTTCGTTTTTCCGATCCGATTTTCCTTGAATTTTTATGTAACAATCTGCCAGTAATGAAAATTCTTCGCGACTACACTCTCCGACCAGCGTGTCCTATTTGTGTTCTCACTCCAGCTTTCTCTCCAGCTCCCTTACACACGAAAAGCGCCCATTCACTCCTACTCGCTCACTCCATCACATGCTTTCCAGTGAATTTTCCCTTCTCACTTTTTTCCAAAGTCCTTAATAATAACCGCACAAGAAATCACGATTCAGAAGTTTCCTCCACTTCAAATCACTAATTTAGAAAATAATATTCTCCACTGTCCTTTGATTCGCGATTTCAGATCATGTCCAGTATCAATCACTTCTAACAGTTACTATTGTCACACTCACTAGCACCAACTTCCCAAACTCACATAGTAGGCCTCCAACAGTTCCCACAAAGCTGTCCGCTCTTCAGCACTGCACGACACGAACTCCACCGTGCAAGCAGTTGATCCTGTGTCCTGAGCCTCTGAACCTGCTGAACCGTTTCTTTTTCCAACGACGTCGACGTCGACGTCGCTCCTCTCCAAGAATCGGAACAAGTTGAATGGAACGCGTGCCGTTCGACTCTGAGCAGTGTGTTGCTCTCCTGTGAGCGCTGATTATATATACTCCAAAAAGGCGAAACTCGCGGAGAGCTTATGTCTGTTCCATCTTGGGGGAGCAGAGCGTGGAGCTGAGTAGCGTGTTGCTGGCTGGAGAGCCAAAAGTGAGAATTTCCCAATGACATTATTCGATGTTAACATGTCGTCCAGTGGGTGGGGGAGCAAATGGCAAGACTCTGAGAGTGTGACATTATGTTGGGCACGGTGGATCGTCGGAAGTGGAATAATCGGTCAAAAGAGAGTCGTCGTAAAGTGGTGTAATAAATTAGAGATTTTTTATTCTGCCGATGTATTTCGGTTGTCACCGAGAAGAACATTAATGCCATCGATTTGATTACATTTGACAACCTTTTGATGATTTTTTTTTAATATTTTGTAAATAATCTCCACGTAGGGCAGAGAACTACTTCGGCATAGTCGTCAATTTTCGTTAAAGCGAGCGGAAACATCAAATATACTCAATTCTGTTATTGCACAATTTTGTCCGCCTCTATTTCGGATCGTGTGATCTCAGTATGCAACTTATTTCGAAAAATCTAAAAAAAAAAATACCGTACCTATCCTGCATAAAGGCAAAATCGAAAAAAGGAAAATCGCGTAAAAACAGAATTGAGTGTACATGAATGATTTCGACGTGAACAAACCAATCATTTTATTACGATAGTTTAGTTCAAAAGCAACTAAATAAAGTCTATGGCATAATATCAATAGTTACATCAATTCCTCTCAAAATCAAAAGAAGCGCTAAAAGTGAATTTATTTTTTCCACCTTCATCCATATACCGAAGTGAATCCAATGACGTTTCACTGTGGTTGGACGGAATTGAAACTCTTTGAAACTTTGTGATATAAGGAGTTCGGTGGCCTTGTAGCAACCGATTTTGTTTACTGAGCAGAAGTCCGTGGGTTCAAACCCTTATATCCAACATCCCAGTGATTTCTCGTGAAAGTGCAGATGTGTTCTCGACTTTCGTTAAAGCGAGTATCACGTCAACATATTCCTACCCATTCCTTTCTTGACCAGCATTCGAACATGGCCGGCGCTGGAATTGCCTGGTTCTAGATCACCAGTATTTACACATTGAGGATAATTGTTAATCCTAGACAACGTCTATTGGTTCTCTGTGTAATTACAGCTGATCTGGCAACAACGGAGTTGGATAGAAACACTTTATTTTATGTTCAAACTAGTATGAAAAAGAGAGGGTAAGTGTTGGTTGTGCTTAGTATGATGGAAATTATATATTAACCCTACATTTCACCCTACGTGATTTAAAATGGATTGTCCCATTTGAACCAGCCTATCGAGTCATTAGGGTGTTACGTGAAGGAAAAAAATCTTCGCAATCATATTCCCACTTTCACTAAGGGGGGAGGGGGGGGGGGGAGGTGTCTATCAAATTCAAACAATCGTCGCCTACCTCGCATAACTGGTTCCAAACGTAAACAAGCCATAAGAAACCTACAGCGTTTGATTACGTTTGGAACCAGTTTCATACAAGAATGATCAGTAGGCTGATTTGACAGCACGTCCCCCCCCCCCCAGATTTTCACGCATAGCACTAAATTGAAAAAGTCTCATCAGCTTTTGTAATCAAAGCTTCTTGTGTGCTTTTCTCGTGAATTGGAGCTCCTGATTTTTCATTGATTTCGGTTGTTTGAAACAAGTTGCATTACATTTGGTTGAAAATCGAAATTACGGGTTCAAAAATAGAGAGTTAAAAAATTGCGTAAAAACAGAGTTGAGTGTGTGTTTTTTTCTCCGAAAAGCAATTATTTTTTCTTCAACTTTGTCTCCGACGTCATTTCGATTCAAGTGACGTTTTCGAGATATGATTTGTTAAAAAAACATATAATACACAAGTTTTAATTTTTTGTAGGACCTTAAAAATTGCGGAGTTTTAGCTCAATTGTGAATGATCGACCGTTACATTTGTCCAGACGAAGACGAATCTTTCTTCCATCAATTTTCGTATGCTGGATCGCGATACCCAAGTAACCAACAAGCCCGCTAATTCGTCTTTTTGCAATATAAGGCAATAAGGCAATACACGGCTAACATAGGGCATGGTAAGCTTTATATTAATCGCATATTGGCCTTATATTGCATAAAGGCGAATTAGAGGGCTTGTTGGTTACTTGCGTAGTATGGTCCGAGTTATAATCCGACGCGGGTTTACCAGGAATGGCAATAGCACTTGCTTCCAATCATCCAGAACAGTTCTGCTCTAGGAATGGATTGAATAAGTTCAACAAACGTCTTTTCGCGTCGTCTGGGAGATTTTTAAGCAAGTTGAACTTGATTCTATTGTTTCCCGGAGCTGAATTGTTACATGAAAGGAGAGCAACTGAGAATTCTGTCATCGAAAAAAGGGAATCTATGACGATCCTACCCGATGGAGGATCAAGAACATTGCTTTAAACTGGCACTGAATCAGGACAAACTTTGCGCGCAAAGCTAAGGATCCATCTATAAGAGAATAGTCCGTGTATTCGTTGGCCGGCGATGACGCGTTTTGTATTTTTTTTGCCGATCTTCCAGAGCGGTCTCATGGATGTCTCTCGCGATAGACCGTCGACGAACCGACGCCAGTAAACGGGTATATTTAACTTTTTCTCGAGGCCCGTGTATCGCTCGAAATCTTCGACCCTACCGTGTTTGCGAAAGCGTTTAAACGCGGCGGACTTCTCGCTGTTTGCGTCGGATAATTCCTTATCCCCTCATGAAGTTGGAGGTCGTTTGTGAACAGAAATACCCGGAACGTGTTTTGTCTGTGCTTGAAGAGCGCAATCAACGATGAGTGGCGATAAAAAGGGTGGACAATGAACCATTGGTAACAGAATTTTTGATTGGCAAGTGGTCACTACCGTAGGAATCTTGGATTACTTCACAACGATAGCGAACTCGAACCATATAATCTTCATTCTTTTGATGGATGTTAGGCCACTCGTGTTTTTTCCTCTATTCGGGACCTAACACCATTGCGACCATTAATTTTATTCGTCGTATTACTCCATCACTATTGAGAAATGATGAAGTATTCGTTTTTTTACAGTTGTCATTCTTGCATTTATCGCAAGGATCCGACTCTAATTGAAAGGTCCCGCTCTTTATACTCGGTGGACAAAGCAGAGTCTTGTCACTATCAACAAGGAATAAAAAGTAACAAGGACTACGATGTGTTTTTTTGATTACTGAAAAATCCTGTTCCCCAAGTTTGAAGTAGTCAGGACTAGGAATCGGTAATAAATCTTACATCCCATAACGTACCACGAAAAGGTGATCTACCCACGTTACGGGGCAGGCCACTCGTGTTACTTCCCTAGTGTTTAGAATTGTCATATTGAAGTTAGATCGTATATCAACGGTTGTCATCGTACAGTTCCCCCCAGACTGTACCGTGGGAGTTAAAATCTCCTAAGATCAACCGAGGCTCAGATAAAACTAAGCAGATATCTAAGAGACCTTGGCGAGAAATCGCAGTTCTCAGAGGAAGATGTACTGTGGCAATTCTAAGGCTTTTCCCTCGAATATTTACCTGAACTGCGACAACTTCAATGCCTACCACGGAAGGCAGATCGATTCTATAAAATGAATGGAGCTTGTTAGTCCCGAGAAGCACCGCTCTATACAAATCTGCTCGATCAAGGCGAATAATGTTAAAATCGTGGAAAGGGAGATCGGTGTCTGAAGAAAGCCATGTTTCACAAAGAACCAATGCATCACAAAGTGAGTTGTGAACTAAACATTTGAATGTGTCTAATTTCGGTATGACACTTCTGCAGTTCCACTAAAGAACATAGATCATATCCCCGACCTCATCTGGAAAATTATTCATCAAAAGATATGATCGATGCAAGGAAGGACCACCTAGAAGCTAGTTGCTTCAAAAGAGGTTTCGCAAATGGAAGCACTAAATCGTTGAGTCAGAATATATTGAAGATGCTCTCCACAATTTCAGAAAACGTGAACATGGCATCATGTTCTTGCTGATTATTCAGCTGTTTTCCTGGCTGAAAGTAATGAGATTTCTGGGGTTTAAGATGATCCCGGATGTGGCAGAAAGTCCTTGTTAAAAATACAGGATTTAAATCCCGGTGATGGGGGTTGCGGTATATTTCCACTAACTCTCAAATTTGTCAAGGTGGGTTAAGAGTCCATACGTGACGTTTTTTTTTTAAATCGCTTTTGCCTTTAAAGACAAAGGAACTATCTTCACTGACCTCTGAGAGCCCTGATCATCAACAGGCAAATGGGAATGTGTTT